TGTGAAGAAGGCAAGTGTCATTCTCCATTCTGAAGACTGGAAACCGCAATTAAAGCAACCGCCTCAGGGAAGCAGACAAAATTAGAAATTGAATCTGGAGTCCTGGGCTGCCAATTCACCCACGGGCTCACCCTTCCAACTTGGGAGCAGGCAACCTAAAGCAGACACCTTTTACCTGCAGCCCCAGAGACACACTCCCCCAGATTGGGGCGATAGCTCCAGCGCAATCAAACGGGCACAAAAGAGCAAACGCTGCTTGCAAAACAAAGTGCGTACCCCACTGGTCACTAGAGCGCTACAAGCTGGAATCAATGCGCTGATTGTGACAGCTGAGAACAAATTCGGCTATGTTTGACAACTTCCAGAAAATATTGGCAGAGGACAGGGAGTCTGCACTGCCCAGCAGCACCTTTGTGAATTGATTAGCCATATAGCAGATGGCAAGCCTGCTGCAGACTGAGACAGCAGAAGATGGCCAGTCTGGTTGAGAAGAACTTGAAGACGACTGGGAAGAAAAAGCGTGTCCTTACAGTGACAGCTCAAAATGATATTTTGGAAATGTCAGATGCATGGCAGATGAGGAACAGGACTGATTTTTAACCTTTTCTTTGACTATTTATTAGAAGCACCCATCCAACTCATAAACCAAAATTATATAGTTCAGTTTAAACCTTTCATTTTCACCTTTTCACAAAAATCGTTAAAGAAAATATCAAAAACCATTTCTTCTTTTAAAATATTCTTCTAAGCAGGACTCACATAAGTCATTCGGGAATCAACTGATATGTTTGAGAGAACTTACATGTTTTCTCTGAAAGCAGGTACATCTTGAAAGTTTGATTTTAGGAAAATGTATTCTGGACAAAAAGCAAAGGCTTTGCTTCCCTCCTCCTGCCAGATATTTTTGGGAGGGGTTTGGTGCATGTTTGGGGCAAATTCATATTTTTAATGGTTTTAGGAAATGCCTTAGGCTATTCAGAGCCTGCACAGCTGCTCATCAGTAGCCAGCCATGGCTGAAGGAGCAGAAACTATGGATTGGAGAAATATGCCATCTTTGTCTGGTGCAGAACAATGCCTCTGCAGTGAGATACAATGGCCGTCTCTTATTTTCCACTAGCCCTTAGAAGAAAAAAAAAAAAGCGAAAAAAAAGGGAAGGATCACGGAGTTTCCTTGCAGGGCCTCCGAGCAGAGGGAGCGCACATCGGCTCTGCGCTCACAGATATGCAAATCCTTCCCAGGCCCAACAATAGCAGCAGCCCTATGGGAGGAGATCACAGCGCAGACCCGGCGGCTGCTGCTCCCCACTCCTTTGCCTGCAAAGCCCACGGCTTCCTGGGACTTCCCAAAAATTGGAAGGTGGAAGCATCACCCAAAAAGAGGAGAGCTGCAACAGCCCTGGCGTAGAAGCCAACCACTCGTTGCCCCTAGGGCACACCGTTACTCGATGCTTTAAAGCTTAGTTTGCCCACCATTTGGTTTACAGATGTGATCGCAAAAACGACTGATGAATCCACGGTGCAATGTCTCTGTATTGCTCTGGTTAATAAGGCTCATGTATAAAAAGTTGGAACTAAAAGAAAAAAGGAGCCTCTGCAGCAAGACCCCAATTAACGATGCTTGTATCTGCGTACTCCCAGCAAACTTTCTAAATGGGTGGGTTGGGTTTTTGTTTTTAATGTAGACTACAATTACCAGGATTTAATGAAGTCTCTGGCTCGCAGCTATCACCAGTATCTAAATTTTTTAAGCAAAGACTGAGGGAGTGCAAGTAACAGATTGGAAACTACCAGCGTTGAGTTACTGCAACGCAAATAGCTCAAACTATTAAGATTTTATGGTCTTACCAGTGCTGACAGCAATCTATAAAAGCTGGAAAAACAAAACCACAGTGACGCAGATTTATCCCTCTTTAGAAAATCTATTTTTATACCTTTGTTCATGTTATCCTAAATATTTGCTATTTGCATCAAATCTGTTACCTAAAGTCACAAGCAGGCTGAGCTGGAACATTCATCTTAGCATTCAGGTTTTCAATTGCTTCCAAAACTCCCATCAAACTTTGATCACAGCAACTGTCAGTCCTTAAAATTTCATTTCCCGATGCCTGAAACATCATCTCTCTGTGTGAGAAGCCAACTCCAGGTCTCTCCAGGGCATCATCGCTTGGCGCTGCAGAGGGGTACAACAGGTTATTGACACCGCGCACGCAGCAAAGCCCGCAGCCAGCGCTCTCTCCCCTTGAGTGGAGGCAGAAGACATTCCCAGGGCAGCACCTCTGAGCCCCCCCAGGAAGAGTCTGGAGGCAGCAGGTACAAAAGCCCTCAGGTACCCCGGCATTACTGGACCCCCAGCTCCGACATTAGGGATGCCGAGGTACCCAAAATGCATGGTTCCTAAACATCCCAAGCAGTGTTGCACACAATAGGAAATTCAATGGGAAGCTCAATACTAGAAATACAGTCGATTGCTGCCCCCACAATCTTAAGCGTCTCTTGAATGAAAAAGCGCTTATTTTGCTGCACTAAATGGCAAAGGTCTGTCACAGAAGTGTGTGCTACTCCAGTAAGCACTTTGACGTGGATATGAAACAAGAGACTGAAGCTGACAGAAGATACTCTGGGACTACTTTAGGGGCTTGCCCACTCCTTCATCAGTGACAGTTTTCAACACTTGCACTCGAACCAGTTCTCCTTTACAGCCTGGTTCTTAAAAAATATGTCTTTAACAGCCTGGGCAGATCGGTTGCTGTTTCGTTGTTTCCCTTGGCAGGCCAGCACGCCATGCACACAGAAGAGGCTGTGTTTGAATGCCGGCCACTGCTGTACTTCGATACAGACACTTTCTTCTTGAAAGCAACAACAAAAAAAAAGGCACTTGCATTCCTCGATAACCCCATTAACATTTCTGTGGCCATGAGGAGCTCTAGCAAAAAATGGCTGGTGGCAAAAAAAAGAGAAAGCTTCTTATAGAGATGGACAAAAAGGGTGCTCCAATGTGAATCAAGTGCAGAATAGTATCTGATCTAAGCATCTTACTCACGTAAGCTTTTATTCATTTAGACACATTTTAAAACTCCGTAAGAATCTTTGCAATAATTAACATGTAAAAACTGTGTCAAACCAAAGAAAAACCTTTATATTTTCATGTAATACATTTCTTGGACATTAGATGGCAATCCCCCCACTTCATTTTTCATACCAGGGGCCCACATCCCTTCCAAAAATCAAATGTCACCTTCTTTTCACCACGTGAGTGGTCTGTTAGGCTTGTAGGAAGCAATGCTGTTGGGAAGCACAGTCGGAGCATGGCGCCTCCCCCATTCATTCCATTGCAACCCTTCTCCAGTTTTGGGTTTACTTCGATTAGAAAAGGCAGATGAGTAATACCATGAGGGAGCAACGCTTGTACCAGAGGCAAGATCGACTGGGTTGTTTCTTGGACACCCTACACCATGACTTGCAATGCTTCTGTGCCAAAAACCTATAGGCAGAAATAGGCGGTTACCAGGATTTCCCTCCCATTTCAACAGAGGAACGGGGTTAGAAGAAAGGGGCTTAGTGTGGCATTTAACAATATAATTTCTAGTCTTGCCAATTAAAAAGGGCCTCCCAAGGGATATCATTAGTCTGTGTAAATCTTTGCTGGGAATTATAAAACTGAATTAAAATAAAAAGCGGCTATTTGGTACCAGTATGTGGAATACACACAACGGGAAGCACCTACCAACTTTTACAGAGGGAACTCTAAAGGTAGAAGAAAAAATAAGACATGAGGCATTTAAACAAATGAAGTAACAGCTCCAACAAATTCAGCAGAGTTTGCCCCACACCTGACCAAGCTGATGTACCTTTGCCTTTCAGCCTCTCACTTTTTGTCATGGTCTGCATACGATGTTTTAAGAAGGTGCAGGAATAACGCGCCTCATCAGCTGCTCAGGGACGTACATGGCGGGTGGAATCCTTCCTGACCTTCGCTAGTGCCGTATGAGCCATTTAAGTGGCAGTACAAGACATCCTGACACCTATTCATTTCAACAGTGCGTGCCTGTGATTCATTCACACAAAATGCACTTCCTAAGCCTGCGTTTCTCATCTGCTTTCATTGTTTGTGAAACCTTTTTGTCCAGGCCAAGTTCACCCCTCTTCATACATCCCCCTCGGGACCGAATTTTGTCCTTGCGATACTTGGCCATTTGAGCTCTGGGGCAGATTTGCAGTGGAAAGGAGAGCGAGGTTTGCACAGATGATATTAGTCCCGAGATGGGGGTCCAGCCACAGCTGGCTACTCCAACAGCTAATTTTTCATGTACTCCACTGAAAATCTAACCTTTCATCCTCACTCTTGAGATGGTTGTGTACGTACACGCGCGTGTCAAGGTGACAACACTGTGAAAACAGGAGTTCTCAAATGGAGATACATTATCTCCAATATCAAAAGGTCACAAAAGGGTACAAATCGGGAGCTCTCCAGAAGAGACACCGGTTTTTATGAAAAGTGGGTCAGGTTTAGTTTCATGTAGGTTGTTTGACACAGTGGTTTCTGGCATCACAAGCTCTGGTCTACAGGATACCACAGAGCCTTTGTATCCCTTGCTGTCACTACAGCATTGTGTTTTTCTACCCATTAACCAAGGATAAATGACCTAGATATTGTGCCTATTAAAGCCTCATTTTTCTTTTGCCCTTTTGTTCTTTAGTGTACCACATTATCACATGCTGAACACATTTTAAAGTATTCTCAGCCTCTCATGGTCCTTTGAAGGAGTAAAGTAGGGTTTTTAGTGTGCATTTCTGTAGAGTCACTTAGGGTGGAAAACATGAAGGTAATTCAAGGTTTCTCTTCCTGCCTAGTCCCTTGAAGACAATCAGTTCAGCATTTACAGCCACTAATCTATAAAGAATATAGCAGAAAAATGCTATAAAAAAGCCACAATGCAAATACAGAAAGCGAACACCAGTTGTGATGTCCCTAAACACTCTACGTTCTATAATTACATCTCTGCATATCATGGGTCACTTTTATTAAAAGCATCATTACTACAGTTGGCAGCAATTTACATCTTATCTTACATGATAGCAGTTTCCAAAGAAAAAAAATAAAAAGACATCACAACAAAGAAAAACAATACATTTACAAAGTCATGTCTGTAAACTTCAAGGCTAGTTTAGAGTTGAGGTAATGCTGTTTAGCTTTGTGGCTAAAGTAACAAAGTCCTTTAATTTAAAAAAGGTACCTGATTTTTTTTCTTTTTGTTTATACCAGTGCATTACAAGATCACGAGACGATTAAACTGTAGCTTTATCCTGTAAGAACCTTCTCCGCGGGTTAATTTCCAAAAGGTACTCTTCACATTCAACAGCTGCCTTATTATTGCTGCGTCTCAAGACAGAGACATTCACACTATCATGAAGATTGTCAGAGAGAGAGTGTGTGTGTGGGTGTGTGCGCGCGTGTGAGCGGGTGAACTCCCGTACAGTCAAAATGAAGCGCGAGTACGATATGTATGGTAAATTTCATCTTGACCTTCACAGCAAAACAAAATTAAAATAAAAAAATTAAATATATAACTTCATCCTTCCTTTAAGCAGCACTTCCTTCTATTAGTGCCACTTGATTACAAATTGCTGCTTAATTCATAATACCAATGGTACCAAAAGAAAAAAAAAGCAGAGCATTATGTCAATTTCCTTAAAAAGACATGATCACCTCTCAAATTTCATCTCTCCTAGGGATAATAAATAATGCACTGCACAATACTTAATGACCAAGATACCTTTTGACACATCTGTATAACATGACTTGAACTTTTTTTTTTTTTTTTGCTACACTATGTTACAGAACAGCTTATAAAAACTAAGTATGGACATTAACTGTGAGTGTAAACAGTAGGACTACCACTTGTCAAAAGTTTAAAACACTTTAACTGTAACTGGTACTGGTTATTCATCATTTTCATTGTTTTCTATTTCTTCCCCCCCATCAAGTGAGTCTAATTCTTCACCCTGTGCTATTTCATCTTCTAAAACGGAGGAATCTGCAGTTTTATCAAGGCTCTCCTCTGCATCACTGCCTTCCAGATTTTCTTCATCTTTAAAGGCAGTTCCTTCAGTTTTGTCAGTAGCCTTCTCTTCGGTGGAGCCCACTGCGTTCTGAAGTCCTGCTAATGCTGGGAAACCGGGCAGAGTCAATCCTCCCAGTCCTGGAGGTAGAAACATAGATGGATAGAAGAGGCCAGGAGCCATGGTAGACAGCAGGAAAGGATTGAAGGCCAGAGGGTTTGTGGGCAATCCAGTGTTGGTGGTGGTGGTAGTGGTGGCAGTGGCGGTCGTCGCCGCAGTAGCAGCACTGACAGACCCATTCGCAGAGTCAGTAGCAGAAACAGTGTCTGTGCTTTTCTCAGAGTCTTTGTTTTCCTCTTCATTCTCATTCTTCTTCTCTTCAGCTTTAGAAGCGCCATCCTCAGTCTCTCCTTGACTGGAAGCAGTAGTGGCATTTCCAGTAGTAGCCGTTATCGGGTTATTCAACAATCCGCTTAGTCCAAACATATTGGGCAGCCCTGCCATCCCTGGCAGCATCAGAGGCAACATGGCAGCTGGATTTTTCGCATCCCCCCCGGCCGCAGCAGCTGTTGCTAGCCCTGGCGGGAAGCCCATGAGGCCTGCGAGCTGGAGAGACTGCAGGTTCTGTAGGTTCTGGAGGCTTGTGAGGTCCATCCCAGCAAACAGACTGTTCATTAGTAGTGGGTTGATTCCCGAAGTTGATGCTACAGCAGCAGCTGCTGCAGCTGCTTTGGCAATTTCACTTTTTGGCCTTCTTCCTCTTCTGCTTGCTCCTTCCTCCCTCACAACAGGTCCAGTGAGAAGACGGTCAAACATGGACTCTGGAACAAAACCCTGAAAAGGGGATGTGAAAAAACAAGCTTTATTCTCAATCAGCTTTTACAGCTTTCAGCAGTGAACTGATGATGGTGGAAGAAACAGAAGGGACTTCAACATACGGCAGAAGTGGTTTGTTTTTCAACCCTGGCAAATCGTGACTAGCTACTGAAGTGAATGGCAATAGAACATGCAAGAAAAACAGAGGCAAGCGAAGTCACAGATTTTCTACATTTAAACACAACAGTAAAACACCACATGCTGAAACTCCATAGCTTCATTCAAAAACCCCACCCTGATATACTGCGGTTATGAATTTATAGCTTTGTACTTCATACTGAACTTCAGTAAAGTAGTGTTTTATTAAAATTAGTATTTGCAGAATTGTACCCTTTATTTTCAAACAGCTGTTGTACAATAAAAGGCAGAAAACCTAATCTTTTGATGCTGCCTGTTACCAAGATGATGAATTCTCTCTCTCTTATGAATATGACAAATGTTTTCTAATAGTTCCTAATATATGAATACCTGCGTTTGTTGAGGGTGGTTGCTTATAAGAAAAAAATGCTGCGAAACAAATGCTGAAGGCTGCCTTAATGTAGCTGATTTTTTGAGTGTACTTCAGTCCATTCTGCAGCAGCCTCCTATCACCATTCCTCCCCGAGCTGGGCAGCTCCCACCTAGACACTACAATTTCCTCAGCTCAAAACCAGCTATGAGATAAAGACTTAACAATCAATTTACACAGCCTTCAACTTTTCCATGCCATAATCTACAGTGAAGCATGGAACAAGAGTTTCACTTACAGACTGTTTAACAATGTCAGTCCAATCTGGAGCAACAGCAAATTCAGGGTTTTCTTCCAGCCATCTCGGCAAGTCCTTCATTGGAGGGGCCATAGCTCCACCCATCTAATGCAAAAGACAAGGTTAATACTTTAAAACAAACAAACAAAGCCAACAACAAAAAAACCCAAACCAAACCAAACTACTTATATGGACATTTTCTATCTGTACACTTTCATCTCTGAAGGATGGCAGTAAATACTTGCAGTTCAGACTGTGGAAAACTACATGGAAACCAGCTAACGAGACCAGAATTAACGAGGTCATGTTTTAAAAAAATATAGTAAAATGCTGCAGCTTAGGCAGGGCTACCAATGGAATTGGTATCTGATATAGAGAAAAAATGTATTCTATACTTTCAAAAAGTAAGAGTTATTTACTCAAGCGATTAATATAAATATATCAGGAGAGTAAAGGAGGAATTAAAGGAACTGCGTGTAAGCAGTAAGAGTAATTTACTCCAGTGAGAGTAACTGCCGGTGCCAATATTAAACTTTTAAAAAGAAAGCCTGGAGTAGAAAAGCTGCTTTCCACATGCAAAAACATTACTAAAGACCTCCTAACTTAATCTTTACCTTCTTTCCATTTCGCTTATTTACAACAGGTACCCTTTCTTCTCCTGTCAAGGTGTTTATATCCAGTTTATTAGGGTTTCGACATCTGTGTCGTTTTTGTTTCGGCTTCTGAAATGGGGAAAACAGCACATCTGCACTCTTCTGGAAAGAAATGTATTGCTTTAGGTTTTTATTTTCTTGACAAAACTCATCAATCACAGACCCCCTTCTCACAACAATTTTAAGAAGGGGCCAACTACTTTACCCTCACGTTATTTCAGAAAAATCTTTTTCCTTATCAGATGAAGAAATTCTGCAGAACGTGTCACCAACACTGTTTTAACAGGTTGTTATGTACAGCTATTAAGAAAGAAAAAGCAACCCATACACCTTGGTACCACTTGGGTGCTTAGGTACTATAGTAAGTCAGACCAAACAGAAAACCTCTACTGAAAACTACCAGTTAGAAAATCTGATGGTTATGCCCAATGTGAGGAAATTAATTTTGATGTCTATAAAACTAACTTCTGTATTAATATAACACAACAATCCTTAGAATCACATACTTACTGGTACATAACTTGGCATATCTACAGTGTAAGTAGGATGCAACTTAAGCCATTCAACTAAATCCTTGTTTTTAGGAGCATCCTCTCCCACCAGCCTGGTCCCATCCTCTAGATTGATTACAGGGATGCGAGTGTCTGGGTCCAGTTGACCAGGAGATGGAATGCTCCTTGCTGGTAGGGCTTCCATCTCTTCTTCAAAAGCTTTGGTCACTTCTGCATCCTCCTGAGAACATGAACATCAGTATTAATTCTCACTTCAAGGGAACAGTTACCTGAAAGCAATAATTTCAGGGACTGAAGCTAAATGCTAAAGGAGATTTTACATACACAAGAGTTAATGGGGTTTAAATATTCATACTATGTAAAGCAATACTGTTACATTCAGGAGTTTTGTAAATTTAGCATCCTTAAACATTACAGAACATACAGCTAAAGATAGAGGAGCTTTTGGGCATTTCCAGTTAATGGCCCCCCCAAGACCTTCCCTTTTCTACACAGCAAGAAAGACACAATTAAGACTCAAAATGTACGTTGCTATAAATACATGATGTTTTGTAGGAAAAAAAAAATAGTATTTTTGAAAGTAAAAGCTACTTAAAACTCAGCCACAATTTGCTAGACTAAAAACTTGGTATGAATGGTATGAACACCATTTTGGGTTCAAACCATGAATCCAAACATTTGTCAACATTTGTTTTGTTTTTGTGCAACCATGTTTGGTTCCAAAAGAAGTAACAGCTCTAAACACAAAGAAAAAGCTGGTTGGGTAAAAACTGTACATTACTCTTAGGTAGAGTACAACACGACATTAAACTCGAGTTCAGAAAGTACTAGACCCAGAAAAACAAATAAGAGACAAAAACGTTGCTGTCTTACTACAGTCAATGATGTCCGTTTGTTGCTCATAAATAACAGATCAAGCCCTTCTACATTTTTCCTTCTTCCTCTCCTCCTCTTCATGGGCGGTTCTCCATCTATTAAAGAGCCATTTAGTAGATGCCTCGTGGGTGTGCGTGAAAGACCTGCTTGCAGCAGCTCCATTTGAGTTTTAAAGGCATCAGACACGGGTGTGGAGACATTAGGCAAGATAAACTTTGAAGTAACAGATGAAAAATTTGAGGTAGAACTTGCTGCCTCTCGTGAGGCCTTTGATAAATCTACAACCTTTTCTTGTCCATTTTCTGAGACCACCTGAGACTCACGTAACTGGGCAACCATTTCCATAAGATTTCTCCTCTTGGCAGCTCTCTCAGCCTCAATTTCAATCTTTCTTCGTCTCCTCCTCCTCTGACGTGGAACCGATAAATTGAGTGCATCTTCCTAATGAAAAATGAGCATTTCCAACCATTAACAAAGCTCTGTTTGCTACGCTGAATTTAAAATAAAAGTCCAAGCACGTAGCTCTGAAAACAAAGCCATCATTTTATTCAAAGAAACACTTTATTTTTCCTATTTTATTTAAGGAAATTTTTTTTTCCCCTATGTTGCAAAAGAAGCACATGCAAGATAAAATGCTTTATGTAAGAAAGAAAATTATGCAGCCTTGCCTTTGATAACTGAGGAGAAGCAGTGATATCTTCACTGCCACTGACGCTGGCTTGACCGACCATGGAGAGCTCTGCAAAGCTCCTTTTTTGGAGAGGGCTGTCCACAGCTGTTGGAGTATACCCAGGTATGAGCCCCTGGAAATCAAACATCTGGCGCCTATTTACTGGCCACTTCCCTTTCAGCACTGCTTCGCAGATGTTGTCCAATCGGTTGATCATTACTCGGTCCTGCATAAAGCAGAAGTACATAACGAACCTACAGTGTGAAAGTCGCCTTTTAAACTCAGATGAGTTAACCACACAGTCCAGCTTCCAAAGCTTAAGAAATACATTCAAAATCAACTATTCTCGCAGGTCAGAATAAACTGATTGCCTTACAAGAAGCTAACACACAGCCAACTTTGTAGAATAAAACATCATTAGAATTTAAAAGCTGCATTTATATTGTGGGGGAGAAGGAGGAAGACAGACCAAGTTTTCTGCACGACAAGGTACTAACTGATAAATGCAAGAGAAACCACTGTTTTACACTGCAAAACTTCAGCAGTTAGCAAAATCAACAGTTAGGAAGGGAAAAGCAAAACATCTGCATGCAGCATCTTAAAGCTGCAGTTCTCGAGATCCAAAAGGCTGGATCTGCAATTCTGTCCTAGGAAGTGGATCCTCATTAGCGTCACTATTAATAAAGTTCAACATTATGAAACGGGCACCAACCTAGGGACATCTAATGAATGTCAATTTTCATTCCACGCCCATTATCACTTCAAATTTCACTGAAGCGTGTACACTAAAAATCTCTAATTATGTTTATTAGTCTACTTATGCTGAACCTACACAGATGAAGGATGTTTTGTTTTACTTTTACACTGTGACTGGAATAAAATTTTAGTCCATGTTTCCAAAATACATGCAGAAAGCGAAGAAGATGACTATCAGTTGATTTTTTCCATTTCAGTATTCAAGCACATCCTATGCTAGCCTGCCTGAAGTAGTAGAAACTTCAGAACTATGAGAAATACAGCTGGTTAGGGAATACGAGCATCAGTCAGCTTCCTGAACAGCAAAACTGTGCAAAAGCCACAAGCAAATCTCAGCAGCTGCAACAGACTGCTTGCTTTCCCCAGGAATAAGCCTATTAAGAGCACGGTCCCCCCACCCCACCCC